ATAGGTTCCCATCAATGCATGATCAATTATGACGAGGAATGACATAAAAACCGAAAACTTGACACTGATTTTACTATAAAAAACAGAAAATGTATCATTTTTTCAAAGGGATGAATTAATTATCATTGGTTGTCATTATGAAAATATGCTCAAAAAGAATATCTACACAAAAGTGATCCGCATAAGAAAATAGTCCGTCATAAACAAATCAATAAATACATTAGTGACATTGTACGGAAAAAATATTGTGAGGACAACAACACCATTTGAAGCGTAAATATGCATATGGAGAAGCCAATTGTGATAAAAATGTTTAAAAAATAATGTTCATCATAGTTTTAAGGTTCATGGTGACCCTGTGCACAAATCTCATATTTGTTTACGTTAGTCACAGACCAAGAAGATGGGATCGATGACAATTGAGCCTAGATAGCATGGTGAAGCTATGTTATGTTAACTTTTTATGATTGGAGAAATAAAAGGTAGTAATATATACATGAAGATGATTTACAGTTTATCACACAGTATTTACGCGGTGGTCTTTCGATTCTATCCACGTGCTCGCGGTGCGGAAAATTGGTCTCACGACAAACCCTGAAAAACAGTTTTGATAATATATAATTATCAGCGCATAATACAGGATTCGAAAAACAGGAAGGCACCAAAAGCCATAGAGTTGAGAGATCAAATAGACGAGAAAACATTCGTTCTTTAAATACTATTGAAAATGTAAATTTATTCTTAAAATGTTCATTATATTGGAACGTATAAGAAACCTTCTAGACATGGTAATATGAAATGTATAAATTATGATAGGTAAGATATTTATTAGCAGTTTATTTAATGACTTCTGAGATGGGAGCTATTCGGAAGAAATTAGCATCTTTTTATTGTTGCGTCTGGGCTCAGAAAATGAGAACATATAACTGTAATCTACAATTTCAGTTGATCCCGGCTTATTAAATAATAAATTGAGCAGTTAAATGTATCTAATTATCAGTTTTGATTTCGGATACTACTAAAGTGGTATTAATCCGTTATTTCCATTTTTGACATTGAACATGACAAGTAGCTGAAATCAAACGAGTCTTTCTGAAATTTGACAATGTGATACACTGTGACATGCAAATGTGCTATAGGGGTTAAATTTCCCAAAGTCACTGTTACTAAAAATAGACTAAATGATATGGTCCTTAAATCGGAATCCAAATGACTTATCTTTTTGAAATCTGATATGGTGATCCTTTGATATTTAGATGTACAATAGGGGTTTACAATGTTTCTAAGATCAAGGTCACTGTTACTTAAAATACACCATTGAGTGACGATCAGGCACATGGCGGGTCCCTTGCTGACCATTCAGTGTTCTAGTTTTAGCTGTATTCCACATTCATACAGAGAATTACAACATATGTGGAAACGTTAAATTTTATCTTATGGTTGATTTCATTTTGTACTGGACGTTAAGCCTTAAAACAAATCATTTTCGGTGTTTCTCATTTCACGTTAGTTACTCATGATTGATTTTAACCTTTAATAATGAAACACGTGTTTTACAATTACGCGCTCTCGGTATTAAGGTAATGGGATTGTGTCACCATTTTTCAGTAGAATTTCTTCAAATTTTGTAGTTATTTTGCTTTGAAGTAAAGAATTTTTTCTGCCACAAAAAATTTAGGTTGTCAAAATTTTAAGGATTTTAATTGGAATGTGAAAAGGAGTGAATTTTGAAAAAAAATGAAAGACACAATTTTTTGCAAAATAATGTCAATAAAAATGATACTGACATAGATTAGTATTGCATTAATGTCAATTTAATAAATGCTGAAATTATGTAAATTTAATTATCTATAAACGATTAAAAATTGACATTTTATAATAAAACCATATACACATAGTAATTGCATGTAAGAGTTATCTTTCTTGAAAAACTTCACAGTTATAGGTAGCCGGTTTCCTAAAGTACAGAAAAATGGACACATGTGACTCATTGATAAAAAAAACTGAATTAATAGCTGGATTACTTTGAAATACTTTAATATTGAGAAAACACACTGTTCTGTCAATAATAAACATACAATATTCATCAGTTTAATATTTAACATTAGAATATGCGGAAAGTGTGATACTGTCTCCCTACATTGGATTTTCAACTAGGGATGTACTTCCTATTTCCGTTTATCAATACACTCCTATGACCTTAAGCGTGGCTACCTGGTACTGCACCAGGATTACAATAAAGCACATATAGTTGGAATAATGATCGCTGCAGTGATTGATATTCCTCACGTTAATGCTTAGGTCAAATTTCAGTCGATTTCCGGAAAGGAGCCCGGGCGATAAGTTTTTTGGCCAAAATCGGCCGGTAAGCCGGAAAACCGTAACGACAGCCGCACGAACATCCTCCGGCTACCGTACGTCAGCCCGGCCATCGTCAGATGAGGTATTCTTGCGATAGTCTTACGGGCTCCCTACGGTATCCTTCAGATGTCCGTTCGATTAAATCCGGCAAATTGGTTGCTGGGACCGTGAGGTGCCCGTATCTAATGTGACCATACTCATGGCAAATCCCACCAGACATCGAAAAAAAGTCCCCGGCGCCCGGGACGCTGGGACGCCGGCCAATTCCTACTTCCCGGCTGGCGATGGGCGCAATTGTGACTAAAGCATAAACATGAGCAGGTCAATGAAGTCTTCTTGGACACCTTCCGAGTGATCACAAATATGATCTCCTCGTGAAAGGTGGGGGATCGATACTGACGGAAATTCTCGCAGATTCACGTTTTCCTGTTGAATGATTAATGCTAGAAAATGACCGATAGTGTGCATGAAAGTAAGAACAGCAGGGACTAGAAAACCATTCCTATAAGTATATTTTTTTTTTATTAATAATCATCCACCTTGTGCGTCTCATACAATACGGTGTTATGGCAGCCGGTACATGCTGGTTCTAAAGGTTACGAGCGACGCCATGCACGCTCGACCAGAACGAGGGGATTAACTGAAGATACTGTTTATTGGAATCGACTGCTGCATATGATTAAGATTTTTTTTATTTTTCTCCGATGGAGTGTCGTCCTAAACAATGGAAATTATATGTTGACGATATCTTGAAAGTAGTCAAAACAGGCGAGGTAAACAACCTATCAACTCACCTGAACAAGGCGGATGATGCAGGCTCTATAAAATTTACATCTGGATACCCTTATCGTAAGAAGAGCTGGTATGCAGATAACACACGCACACATGCAATTACCTCAACTTAAATTCACACTTCCCATTGCATCAGAGGTTGCGGACAGTTCTCACTCTCCCGTTCTCTTGACTGCCTGCAGTATATCGGAGTGTTATTGGGCGACATGAGAGACACCGGTCATACATAAGTTTTTTTCAAATCCTGTTTGTGATCAAAACAAACTTCGCCTTTAACTTTGTAATATTACTAATTCAAGAATACGTAGAAGCATCAACAAAAGAATTTGAACAAAATTTTGAAACATTATTGGGAAAGAATCTTTTTTAAAAAATCTCTAAATTATTGAAACAAACATGATTATTACTAATTTATCACCGAACAAGAAATTGGCTTGAACACAGAATCGGGGCCCGTATTCACAAAACTGTTCTCATGCTCAATCACGGATTTTGTACTCAACCCCAATTTCTTGTTCCGGCTATAAATTCATAAGAAAAACTAATTCTGTCGATAGTTTGGGAAAACATTGAAGAAACTTTAAGCAAAAAAATGTTTTCAATTTTTATATTTGACGTTTTGATCATTTGACATGATTTAAGTGAGTTACAAGAAATCAGGTTTGAGCACAGAATCCATGCTTGAGCGTGAGAACAGTTTCATGAATAAACATCGATTTTTAATCGACAGTATACAACCCTTCTTCAACGTGAACTGAACGATGTCTTACATAAGCATTGGCAAACACCTGAAGGGTTAAGTTTGGCGGAATAAGTCTTTGGTTGATCACACATTTGTTGACTTAATTTCAACAGCTAGCGGGGACACACTGTATACCATTTTAAGAGGATCTGTTTTTGTATTTTACGAAACTTAATTTATGAAAAAAGGGTTATTTTGTTGGTTACGGGAGGTAAGACGCACCGAGGGTTAACCCTAACCCTACCCGATCGCTTTTTATTTTTAATTTCACATTCAGATGCATCGATCATGCTTTGTCATCCATTAACTTGCATTTTTTTTTCTGAAACATAAAACTCAATATTAAAGATGTTATAGACTTTTTTCTTTGGTTATCTTACAGTAAACCGGGAAATGTTCGCCGCAGTTTAACTTTCCACAATGAGGGCGAATTTATCATGACAGCGAATATTAGTACACAAAAGGATATATAGATATTAACTTTACGTGAAGGACGAAATTAACACTAAGCAAACATGGATTGTATTGGCAAAGGGTGAATATTTGACTAGGCGAAGGTCTCTCGGTATACAGTATGATAAACGTGTATAACATAATTCGTTTTTAAGTAAGAAGATGTGATAAACGTAAAAATATATATTTCGTTTCTTCAGTAAGAGAATATGATAAACGGGTATCACATAATTTCGTTTTTAAGTAAGAGAATGTGATAAACGTAAAAATATATGTTTCGTTTCTTCAGTAAGAGAATATGATAAAAGTGAAGAACATAATTTCGTTTTTCAGCAAGAGAATGTGATAAACGTAAAAATATATATTTCGTTTCTTCAGTCAGAGAATATGATAAACATGTATAACATAATTTCGTTTTTAAGTAAGAGAATGTGATAAACGTAAAAATATATGTTTCGTTTCTTCAGTAAGAGAATATGATAAACGGGTATCACATAATTTCGTTTTTAAGTAAGAGAATGTGATAAACGTGAAAATATATATTTCGTTTCTTCAGTAAGAGAATATGATGAACGTGTATAACATAATTCGTTTTTAAGTAAGAGAATGTGATAAACGTGAAAATATATATTTCGTTTCTTCAGTAAGAGAATATGATGAACGTGTATAACATAATTCGTTTTTAAGTAAGAAGATGTGATAAACGTAAAAATATATATTTCGTTTCTTCAGTCAGAGAATATGATAAACATGTATAACATAATTTCGTTTTTAAGTAAGAGAATGTGATAAACGTGAAAATATATATTTCGTTTCTTCAGTAAGAGAATATGATAAAAGTGAAGAACATAATTTCGTTTTTCAGCAAGAGAATGTGATAAACGTAAAAATATATATTTCGTTTCTTCAGTCAGAGAATATGATAAACATGTATAACATAATTTCGTTTTTAAGTAAGAGAATGTGATAAACGTGAAAATATATATTTCGTTTCTTCAGTAAGAGAATATGATAAAAGTGAAGAACATAATTTCGTTTTTCAGCAAGAGAATGTGATAAACGTAAAAATATATATTTCGTTTCTTCAGTCAGAGAATATGATAAACATGTATAACATAATTTCGTTTTTAAGTAAGAGAATGTGATAAACGTAAAAATATATATTTCGTTTCTTCAGTCAGAGAATATGATAAACATGTATAACATAATTTCGTTTTTAAGTAAGAGAATGTGATAAACGTAAAAATATATATTTCGTTTCTTCAGTAAGAGAATATGATAAACGGGTATCACATAATTTCGTTTTTAAGTAAGAGAATGTGATAAACGTAAAAATATATATTTCGTTTCTTCAGTAAGAGAATATGATAAAAGTGATGAACATAATTTCGTTTTTCAGCAAGAGAATGTGATAAACGTAAAAATATATATTTCGTTTCTTCAGTCAGAGAATATGATAAACATGTATAACATAATTTCGTTTTTAAGTAAGAGAATATGATAAACGTAAAAATATATATTTCGTTTCTTCAGTCAGAGAATATGATAAACATGTATAACATAATTTCGTTTTTAAGTAAGAGAATGTGATAAACGTGAAAATATATATTTCGTTTCTTCAGTAAGAGAATATGATAAAAGTGATGAACATAATTTCGTTTTTCAGCAAGAGAATGTGATAAACGTAAAAATATATATTTCGTTTCTTCAGTAATAGAATATGATAAACGTGTATAACATAATTCGTTTTTAAGTAAGAAGATGTGATAAACGTAAAAATATATATTTCGTTTCTTCAGTAAGAGAATATGATAAAAGTGATGAACATAATTTCGTTTTTCAGCAAGAGAATGTGATAAACGTAAAAATATATATTTCGTTTCTTCAGTAAGAGAATATGATAAACGTGAAGAACATAATTTCGTTTTCCAGTAAGAGCATATCAACCTCGCCTACTGTTGATACGCTACTCACAAGTCCGTATTGTTGGACAAGGAAACAAGTATAATTGTCCGAATTCAAGTATGTTTAATGGCAATGACACGGATATACAATTTAATCCACAAAATGATAATTATTGCACAGCAGTTTGAGGTGGTCCCTATCAGAACTAGTTCGGGGGCTCAAAATATCGCGCTAACAAGCGTAGTTTCACATTTCGGTGAATTATGCATTTTTTTCCTTTTCGGGAAATGAAATAAAATACCATTTTTTTTTTAATCTTCATTATGTGACAGAAAACGGATATTTCTTTTATTTATATCAATATATTAACGGAGATTATAATCCATGCTCTTAATATTCGTTCCGTTTGGGTGTTTAATTATGTGTCATATCTAGTAACCGCGAATATAGCAAAATTGAACTCCCCGTGAAAATTAGTAACTAAAAAAGTAGTGTACATACTTAATCATCCCAACCTTGTTGTCAGTTATGTTCTCATTCAATCGGGGTCAATATAGATCAGCAATAGTAATATACAACTGTCAGGGATGCTTTGTTTTGATGTCGATTTCGTATCGATTTTAATTGCGAGCTCGTTCGATGCCATTGTAGCCTACTGTTTTACGTTACACACAGCTAGTCATATAGGACATTATTTCTGGATTGCATCATTAGACAAATTTGAGTGTATAATTGATCAGTACAAGATTACAAGTGGAGCCAGTAAAAGTCGGACATGAACACTGATGCGCAGTATTGTTATGACATGTAAACTTAATTTCTTGTAAAACAATTATGAAACAAGTTTTTGCTTTTATTTATCACTTTTTTTGGCACGGATATTAGCACTGATGTGGTCTTATTGTGGGAGGAAACCGGAGTACCTGGAGAGAAAAACCCCGCGGTAGACAGGTGAGCTCAAACCTTTTCATGTCCGATCGGGGAATCGAACCGGCCGCCTTGGTGAAAGTTAAGTGTGCTATCCTCTGCAATACCCGACCATCGTACAGTATTGTAACCTTCAGTCAGTAATCACAAGTTGTTTCTGACTTAGATTTTGATATTACTTTCATTCATTATAAACGTTTCCTTGGGATCCTTACTCATTTAAACAATTTACACATTTATAGATGGTTGAAGAAAACCAGAGTGTCCAGAGAAAAAACACCGACCCACGCCAAGTACCTGGCGACTGTCTCGTGTAATAGACCTCGAACCCGCGACCCAGTGATGGAGGGCTAGTGATTGTACACGTACAGATGCCTTAACAACTCGGCCTCCATGACCCCTACTTGTAGGTAGAGTCCATGTACAGTGAAATATGCAACTAAAAGTATTCACAAGCGAAGTAAATATGAATGATGCTATCGGGACAATTTCTGTCGTCCATGCACATATGCGGAAACTCCAGGACTGCACAACGCTGTCCGAGGTTATTTGATTGGTCGCCATTGGGTTCGTTTGGACAGAAGGGTGACATGTCTTCCAGAGGAGTCCCATCATGCCACACCCACGGTCCTATTATACTCTCTGCTCGTAGACCTATCGCCACTCTGTTATATCCTGTGGTGATATGAAATAGAACGTGTAACATGAGCTTATATTTAACAAGAATCGATCAAAATGGCCGGGAAAAGATTCCTATATAGTAGAAATAAATCCGTTCAAAATCTTTAATCGTTGGAAGGAAAGCGTATACAATTTGATCAGAATCCAGCTTTACTGATGAATGATGGTGATGGAGCCTACTAAGTGTCAAGGAAATGTGATGAAAATTCTGGGGGTTCGGGTGGTTGGTGGCGGCGGTTTCGGCAAGATTCAAATATAAAAAAACTCTTAAACTTCACACTTTTTCTCTACTGCTGCGCCATAGATCCAAACGAGAAGTTTCTTGAAAATATCTTGAGCTATTCAATGATTTGACACATGACATATTTCCGTGACCTCGTGGAAGGGGATACGAATCAAGAGTACGTGAAATACTTTCTAGTCAAAGTGTTTCCATCTTAATGCCTAAAATTATATCTCAGTCAAAATTTATGTTGAGAAAAAAAAGTCTGCACACACAGGTATCGCTTCGTTCCAGTGTATTGAATGAAAACCTCGCAATCTATATTTGATATGAGAAATAGCAACACCACTTTGCGCTAATGGCCATGCATTTACTTAAACGGAGTCCCCGACACTGAAGCTTCACTTACAGAAACATGAAGATAATGAGATATTTGCTCGTATCGTTTTAATAGGATTGTAACATCGAGTCTGGTATGATTGACATGTGTTGACATACCTGACATGCGAGTGTCGAGATATTGGTGAAAATGATCGAAGTTATCATCTGTGTCGAGGCTAATGAGATTCCCTCCCAGACAGTGACACGTCGAACTCGCCGCGTCGATCGATGTTGTCGTTGGCCCAATAAAGGCCAGACACGTGTTATTGTCCCACATAAGCACATCGTGATCTGAAAGCATAATCATCCCCGAATATTTTTTTTATTTTTTTTTACAGCAATATCTTTCTATAATCAGAATTAAAACTAATTATTGCTATCATACCTCATTGAGCCATATATGATTTCACCAACTTCATATGACATTGCACACATTATGTAGTTTAAATGATGTCATACGAAACGAGAATGTTTGTATTCCTCTATTATTACTTCCATCACATATGCATGTTACCAGATCCTTTACAGGTTTCTAGCCTATACGATTTGACCAAAATGATTCCTAGCCTCACAGAAGTGACAAGAAAAGTGGTTAATATGTCATGCTACATGAAAACAAAGTTAAGACCCATAGAAAATAGACCCCCGTTTCATTTTTTTTAAACATCAGAATTAGGCAGGTCGTAGACTTGCATCTGAACGTAGAATCCCTCAGTATTAGATGTTAACCCGTTGTCAGTATAATATGACCGGATGTAATACTGTGCTTGTGCCTTCTACATGGTAGCATGTTTTGCAAAATTGCGTTCCGAAGTAATTATTACCAAGCACAGACGAATACCAGCAACCTCATACAGTAATGCAGTTCTATGAGCACTGTAGTCCCATTACCCTACCTCATCGGGGGTTATGCCCTATGTGCTATTTTAAACAACGATCTAACTTCATATAGATACATTGCCTTTAGAGATAGACATATATGCTATCCCTAATCTTGCGTTCCTTAGCGTCTATTTATCAATGGGACCGGAAACCCAAATACTGAATCACATTGGAGCAAGACAAACATTTCATGCGTTTTTAGTTCTTTTGTTCTTTTTGTTTTTGTTTTGCATGCTGTGCATTGTATACTTGGTAACTATAAATACATTTAAGCTTCTATTTAAATTCTTCCAATGTGACGCACAGGCCGAGAGAGACTTGCAAGGTTAAGCCTGTTTTAGCCATAGAAAATAACCTTAAAGGAGCTGACGAAATTCCTCATATTATGCCAGTGAAATACAGCAGAAGCTGATGCGTAAGCACATCTCACATCCAACTGTACGTACGTGCGCGTGCAAATTCATTCTCACGTGTATTTGTCTGTTTAATTACGTTTTCAGTTTAATTTCATATTGTGTAAATGACATTACTGATGTTCTTGCCATTATGAATACAAGTCAGCTAGTAATATTCGGAACAATTACGCACTTCAAAAGAACAAGAAATACTAACTTAAATAATGGGTAAATTTGGCGTCCGTTTCTTTGCAAACTATTTATAAATTATCACACTGTATTTTCAGGGTTTGTCGTGAGATAAATTTTCTCATCGCGAGCACGTGGATAAATCGAGAGGCTACCGTAAGTGCATGGGGTCGAAATTTTATCTATGTGCGAGCGATGAGAAAATTATTCGAACGACAAACACTGAATATACTGTATGATAAACTATTAATCATCTACATACTACCTTATATGTTTCTCCATTTAAAAAAACTCAAATAAACACCATGTTTTCCAAATGAATTCTAAGCTCAATGGTCAACGATCGCCTGTGACAAACGTAAACAAATAGAAGTTTTCCGCGGAGGAATACAAGAAACCTTAAAACTACGTAGAATAAATATTTTTCAAACAATCCTATCGTCATTGGCTTTTCCATATGCATATTTACACGTATTTACAGATTTTTCCGTAACTTTGTATTGATATGTTAATGACGGAATATGTTCTTACGCGGATGACATTTGTGTTGACACAATTTCCGGTTTCGGACGTTATCTGGCGCAAACAGACATTATCTTTTGAGAAAATACGTTCCCAAGTGCTGGGGAATGGAAAAATACGTTCTCAAGTTCTTCTCAAGTTGTTCTCAGGTCGTTCTCAACTTCTTTTCATACTGACAACCAATGATAATGAATTGATCAAGCTACCGGTAGGTGGTATTAAGTAGTATATAGATGATAAAACACTTAATTTCATTAAGCACCATCGTTTCAAAGTTTGAATGAAATCCTGGTAAGTAACAATCATGCTATTCAATTCATATATAAATTTAATAAATCACACCCAGATTCTCTGTCAAATGGCAAACGCAGACTTTGTAGTGTGCAACCTGAAATATAGGTACGGATGCAACGAATTCGTACTGATTTACTTACAACCCTTTTCATATATTTCTCAAATAACAAAGACGGTTCAATGAGAATAAAACACTTTCACAGAATATCGCTACCGTGGTACAAAAACACTGTGTTAACGCCTATATGTTGTTAACATTTATACCCCGTTCTTCTCATAGCTGCATTTTTATGCGGCACCTTTTAACATGAAATACGTCACAATGCCATTTGTATGTAAACATCCAAACAGATTTTTGACAAATGATGTTAACCTTTATTCAAGCAAGGGTTTTCAATAAGATGGGTAAATGAAACCGGTTATATTTTGTATTTTAATTGCACCCAACTTGTTAATGCAGTGTCCTCTTGAAATAAGGCAATTGCAAAAGGAATGTAACTAGAGTTCTATTTTGGCATCGTCCTAGAGTTATCGTAGTCAGCAAGCAATCATTAATAGTATACTTACCTAACGCTGCAAGACACCCTTTAGATTTCCTTAAACATCCTGGGAGGGTAACTGCCGTTGTCATTGGTTGTTCGGCAGTGGGATTCTCAGCCGTGGTAAGCACATGTACAGTGGTTGGTTGTTCGGAAGTGGGATTCTCAGCCGTGATAAACACAGTGGTTGGTTGTTCGGAAGTGGGATTCTCAGGTGTGCAAAGTGCCGTTTTAGGATGCAGTTTTTTTGGCTGAATGGGTGAATACAACACATTTTTCGAGGTCAGCTGTCTAATGCCTGACGGACTTTTTGGAATTATCACTAAAAGTGAACAAGTCTGGTCACATGGGTTATGAAAGAACGATTTACAAGCTGTTTCCCTTCCTACACAAAAGGCAGAACAATGTACTAATGATAAATTGTTGAACGTGTTGATGACATCTTCCAGAACTGGTTGGTATCCACGGAAACAGTCGTTCTTGTAATAACGTTCTGATAATGTTGCACATATGGAATCTACAACGGAACATAATATCTAATGTGAACTCATATTTAGATTTAACTGAAAAATGAAAACCGACTGAAGATTGTTTATTATTCATAATCTAAAATACCTAGAGACAAAAAATAAAATGAAATATAACATAGTGAGAATCACTGCAATTAGTGTGTAATAATACATAATATGCTTTATGAATCATTTTAGACGATTTACATTTTTTTAAAGTTTCAATATATGTAATATATGAACAAAAACAATATGTAAAAAGAATCATAGCAAATATACTAACACATGTAATAGCAATTAACAGCAGGCTAGCATACATTGTAGCTGCCTACAGTAATCTTGCATTTAGTATACTTACCTAAGGCCAGTGTAATTAAAAGCAGAGAAAGTACCGACATTTTCGTGCTGACTGTCCTCCTTGCAATTAACACAAGTAATAGCTACATATCCGATACATCATGCTTTAATTATACCTAATTTATCAATTTTATGGTTTTGTATACATACCGTCGATGATGAAATCGATGCATAACTTAATGAATACTTTTACTTCATACCCCTTCAGTTCTCCTTTTTTAATGAGCGACGGAAATGAAAAAAAACCTATTACTATGCGTCATCTAGTTTTAATCAATTTTTATCAGCAGCCGTTATCATATGAACAGATCCCTCATATCAGTCGATGATGGTTGGTTTGCATTCTAATGACTGATATCGTTGGCTACTTTTAATTATTTAATACGACGCCAAGCAATTTTTGTAAATGATTATACATTTAAGGTCCTTGTCTATGGATTTGTTACCGTAAGGAATACCTGATGAAGTGCCATAATGATAACCAAATCATAAAGGGCTTCCGCGTAAACAAAAGTGTACTTTTCTAGAGACAATATACATTATGAAAGAACCACGACTTCTCTTATTAGCTCGTAAATATTCATCAATTATGGACTTTTGAGTAAATATGTGGCTACATGAAGCTGTTCATATCGGTCAATATGCCTCTCTCGGATCCATATAATCACATTTTTACCGAAATAAAAATTTGTAATGGTCATGTTAGATGCTAAATGATGTTATAATACTTTTTCTAAAACAAATATGGAAATTGTACGGAGGAAAGTACTGCGTTTGACCGAAAGCGTTGTGATGTCATAATTGAAATTATATCATAAAATGAATATTAACCTGATGTTTCTAAAGCTTGTAAAACCGAGCCAATATCGCTAATCACCGACCACTACGTGATAATGCCAGATCCAGCCAATGAGAATGTTGGGGAAATGTGTGTCATCTAATGTTGCTATCGGAGATTTTGAGTCGCACATCGGCTACCATACCGATTGGTTTATCAAGCTGTGTAATTACACTAATGGAATAAACAAACTAAGCTCATATACACACCGGGTATTCCGATACCACGAACAAGAACACTGTATCTTTAGATGACCTGACTTGCTCCTATTGTTTTGATTCTTTAATACTGTATGGCAAAATAAATTCGTTGTGTGTAAACATTCGTGGTTTTGGTGGCTGCTATTAACCACGAAAATTAATACTACTGTTTGCTATTATCCACGAAAGTTTATACCACAAAACTATCAAAATAGCTTCAAACCACGAAAGAAAGTAATCACGAACATTTCGTGTTATACAGTAGTGATAAGTGTACGTATTTTACTATTTGTTCACTGTTTGAAGCAGCACTCTCAATTAAAATCGTTTTAATTTGTTACTAGTCTGATAAATTGTTCATCTTATAGTTGGTTTCTTTTGTGGATGTTCTATGATTTTATCTTCAAGATTCTGAGGTCTAAGTCCTGACAAAGTTTAAACATGTTGTGGTTATGTTCCTACAGCCTAATCCTTTTTTTCTTGTTCTGTCCTCCGATATATATTATCACAAGCAGTTTTTATAAAAAAAAATATCAACTGCATCTATTGCGTACCAAACTATTTTGTGTTTCTTAGTTCATCTAAGTTGTTTTCTCTTTCTTGGTAGTAACATCTCCGCTTCCTCGACCTAAGATGTTAACATGTCGAAATTGATTCATTGTTCATTAGGTTGCTCTAATCCACCTTTTCCGTGATATAACTGTCGACTGCTGACGTTCAAATGAAGCGTTGCGAGTGATGCAGGTTAATGAAGACTGGGCAAGCTTTAATGGTCGCCTTTGTGATCGTGCTGGCCATTCTATTACCGTGATCATTCCATTTCTTTGTGTGAAAAGATCATTATGTTATTACATTGCTCATTTACCCCTGCAGGTGGGTGATCGGGAAAAGAATGCACCTGCTGTTATCCACAGCATGTATCGTTTAATTCAGCAATATAATTAAATCATACCATTTTACTGATCCCGGTAATATTATAAATCATGTAAATCTAATAGCGCACGTATCTCATTTGACCCCAAGCACCGACAGAGGATCAGAGAACAGAATACGCCGTGCCCATCACAGCAGTTAACCCTTGGGGTGCCTCAAGGCAAAACCAAACTAACCAGTCACTTATCCCTTTCGTTTGCATAAACCACTGTATAATTATAAAAAACACAAAGTAAACTCTCTCCGATACATGTCCATTAACATATTAAACTAAGTTCATCTGTGTTCAAACTCACACAATGATACTAGCGAGGTTAATAGTTTTAGATATTTATTCATAACATAAACAGCGCTAGCATTTCTGTCGATTTTATTTCAGCTTAACCGGCCGCTATCCGGAAGAAAACATGCACCGTACTGACTGCTAGGGCAGTTATTTTCTGCTTTGAATACTTCCCACTTGCAATAATGATTCCGTAACGTACCCCTTGCGCTATCTTTTTACCATTTGGCAACTATTCGCTTCGTAGCTGACACGGTACAACACTTTTGTTTGGCTTACTTCACACGGCCAGTCATTTTGTTTACAAAGAAATGGTGTGCTATGCGCATGCGCTAGTAGAGGGAAATCCCTGAACAAAACGTTGGTCAGACAGGTAGAAATACCGATGATTATCTTAGATTTAATCATTTTTATGAATCTATTTCAGCCAAATCCGATCGGCATTTTCCATAAGGAGTCTCACTTGATATGTTTATGTAGTATTTGGAAAAAAGACAAAAAAAAAAGTTACTTCAGCGTGATGCCCCTTTAAAAATACGTTTTATAAGCCATGCATCTGTGAACCTGCAATCCGTCTTGTTCTTCAGTGTCATATTTCTTGATTTCTTTTATCGTACATTTTTTATATAAGGAAAATATGTTGAAAAATAAGGACCTTGACAGCGTGCGCCTGACGTCATAACTTCCTGCCAGAACCACTTAATTGGCCTATTTTGTATACACATGTTGTAATATTGTATTTATCTTCTGATCATTCACTAACAAATGCTCTGCTGTTCTGAAGGCAGCTATAATATACATGTGAATTTGTTCGCAATGTTACCGTCAGGAAACATGAGGGGAAATAATTTAGAAATGTCAAAGAACTGTTTTACTGTTTGCAAATCAAGAGTCAAAAGTGTTTCAGCACGTACATGTTGAGTATTAGCAGGTTTTACACACTCTGTCGGTTGAGCTATATAGCTGCAAAGTCCTACCTGCTTTTTTTTAGCTATTTTCATGAAATGCAACCTCAATAGATGTTTTATGCGACTTTGCTGCAATTTAATGAAAATTCAAATCTGAAATCAAAAAATAGCACAATGCAGCTATAATTTAAATATGGATATAGCTATATAGCTCAACCGACAGAGTGTACTGGACCTAATTATTAAGAGCGACAAAATCACTTTGTCACCAGCAGCACGAGCATTAGCTGAAACCGAGAAACGTACTTAAAGCATTCGCTGTAGTTTCGGGGGTTTTCGTAGGCTGAGTATTAGCGTGTTCCTTTAAAAAAAAAACAAATCTGGGCTCGAATCGCTTGCCCACAGAATGGTTTGTTTGTAGCAGTAATGCATGCTCCCCCATCTTGCCTAGGTTGCGAACGATACATTTTGCCACGTCCTTGACGCCTTTAAATTCTCTGGTCGGTCTGGCGAACCATTGATCGCAAGCCACTTCCGATTAAATGCACACTTTCCCTATTCTGACCGTACTGTTCGTTCAGAATGCGGCTCGTCCAATTGTTTTTTCCTAATCTTTATCGCGAAGAAGCTTCAAATTTAAAGTATGTACACCGAAGGTATCAAACGTAATAATGACCCGGAATAGTATCAGTAGTATTGGAAACAGAAGCCGGTAGATGATTTCCGGAATATTATACCCCCTCACATTTTTGTTTGTTTTTATTTTGTTTTATACATTTTACGACCATTTATTCATTTCACGACCGTTTATTTTTTAAATATCTTTAAATCTTATGCACAAAGTGGCATCATAACCTTGATATAACAGTGTTTTCATTAGTTTTTAGGGTTTGTCAAGACAGTTACTGATTTTTAAGGTTTTTAAAGGCTTTTTACATAGTTTTTATTTAATTTTTTTATTTTGACATCTTTTTCAATGATAATTAAAATGTGTGCGAACCATGTTTTCAAATATATTGATCAAAGTAATATTTCAAGTTTAAGGTTATATCTCGATACATGAGATAGAGACTTCAAATTTGGTCAAGTGAAAGTCAAGGTCAAAACTATATCAGGTCAAGGTCATATTTCAAGATTTAAGGTCGTATATACTACAGAAGTACTTGTCCTCCTTGAAAGGGACTGTGTTGGCAATACACATCTTGTTCATATGTACAATTGTAACTCATTCATATACAATCTGTTCTAAAAATAGCACCATTCCAGCAGCATGTCTTTATATTCCCAACTCTGTAGACTAAAAAGTAAGAAAGAAACATGATCTCATATTCCTATCAAATATTTACAATACAAATGACTTTATAATTTTAGTGTTTCAAAAACTATTAAATGACAGATTTTCAGGATATATTCAAAATAATTGCCAGTTTACCCTGTTAGAAAATGCAAAATTTGCCAAATTTTGTCATTTTTTTCCTGTTTTGGTAGATTTACCAAAATCAAAACTCAAATTTATCATTTTGCATTTGAAAAATATGTCTTCTGTCCTAACTTTCGAAAAATGTGTTTGAAAATTTTGAAAAATAAATTTTATACAGTTGAAAATGACTTTGTTGTGAATATTGAAAATTTTGTGACAAGGGAGATAACTAAAATTGAATTACCTCCCTTATATATCAAGAAAGTGACCATAATATTATAATATGTTACAGAGGACAACTAAATGTATGTATGTGGAAAAAATGAAAAATATTAATTGACTAGATTTTTTTACAAATAACACCCTGTTCCTCCTTAAAGAACTTACAACTGTTTTGTGAGTGATTCTATTATATGCTGTAGTTCATGATTAAAAGCGCCAATCACTTGTCGACACCGGCATTGTTTTGTGTCGTATGGGATGCGCGCGCATACCTTGATATACTCGTTTGAAATGTCCAGCCACGTTTCGACAAGTTCAATTTCTTCAGCAAAATCTGTTTCACAGAAAGCACATATACACATGTGTCCTGATTTCTTAGAAAATTACTATATTCATATGGCTGGTCTCCAATTCAGTGTCGTTTGTCTTGTTTTATAGCCAAATACATACTGTTTCACCTATCAAAGCAGTACTTTAAAATAATTTCAATCTCAATAAATTTGCTATATTTTCCCAATTTATGTAGGAACATGCTGTAACTGGTTATTAATTAGATGGCGATGATAAAACATTTACCACGGATATCACACTGTTCCCTTCCTATAGGTAAAACTTATAAGAACCATTACAAGTTGATAAACAGATCTAAATATCGTATTCTTATCATTTTTTTTCCTGATGTTTTATATCTATATATGTATATGGAAATTCTCAGGAACAAATAACCTTGAGAACGCACCCTGACAACACATATCACGCATACATTAGTATGTTTTACGGCATGATGTCTCTCTAGGTGTATTTTATTACAAAATATCTTACAACATTTATCACACTTGTATCGGCTCTCTACTCTATGACCTTTGACATTTTACAACAGTGTATCGTTTACCCCGTACACCTTACAACATATACCACACTTAAAAGGCCTTTCCCCCTTTTCATGTTTTTTTTCTTTTTTAAATGTGTTGATAACTCACGCATCCCAGAACAGTGTTCGTTACAAACACCAAACGTGTATCGTGTCTTTCCTACACATGAAGTCCAAATATGGTTCTGTAGTAAATCAGTCCGAGTAAAAATCTTACCACAGCCTTCACACTTACACTGCTCACCTCTCTTATGTGTTCGATGGTGTATCTGCAAGTCTATGGCGAGTGGAAATGGTTTGTTGAATGTGATCCAATGCGTGCCTAAATTAGCTAAGCAGAGTCGATGGAGTTTTCATCACACTTTCCCGCGTTGGATTCCGCGTCTATATGCGTCTTGATGTGTGCTTTGAGTCCAGTTTGGTCACTAAATTCTTTATAACAAAAATTACAATGTTCCATATATGTTACCAAGTCTAAGTTTGTCCTGTCATTTAACCCTTTGCTGGATACCTCTCGGAGTTCCGTGTTTGGTTTCATCCTAATGTTTTTTGACATGTCTTAGAAGATAAACTTTCGCCAAATATTCTTTACCACAGATATCACATGTGTATGGTTCCACTTTTGCGTGTTTTGCTGTGTGAGATTAGATTACATTTATATGAAATATCTTTACCACAGATATTACACTGATATGGTTTTACTTCTCTATGTGTTTTGCTGTGTGGAAGAAGATTACATTTCTGCGAAAACACCTTACCACAGATATCACACTGATATGGTTTTACCTCTCTATGTGTTTTAGAAGATTACATTTCTGCGAAAACACCTTACCGCAGATATCACACTGATATGGTTTCACACATGCATCACTGAATTTTTCTCTTTGTTGGGTACCTCTCCGAGTTCCGTGTTTGGTTTTTCATCTTTATGTTTTTTGACATGTGTTAGAAGATAATTTTTCCCCAAATATTCTTTACTACAGATACCACATTTAAATGGTTTCACTCTTGTATGTGTTTTGCTGTGTGTAATTAGATTAGATTTCTGCGAAAACACCTTACCGCAGATTTTACACTGATGTGGTTTCACACCTGCATGTATTCTGACATGTACAACAAGATTGCTTTTCCGAGAAAACTCCTTACCACAGATATCACATTTGTATTGTTTTACTTCTGTTTGTGTTTGGCTGTGTGTATGTAAATCATCTCTCTGTGAAAACTCCTTACCACAGATATCATGTGTGTATAGTTTCACTTCTGTATGTTTTTTGCTGTGTTTAAGAAGATTAACTTTCTGCGAAAACTCTTTTCCACAGATATCACAATCATATTGTTTCACTCCTGTATGTAATGTTTTATGCGTAAGCAGATTACTTTTCTGCGAAAATTCCTTGCCACAGATATCACAATGATACGGTTTCACGCCTGTATGTGTTCTGACATGTGTTGACAAGTGACAGCTCTGTGCAAACTCCATACCACAGATACCACACTGGTATGACCTTTTCCTCCTGTGTGTCCGTAAATGTGCAGATAGTTCTAACATCTTTGAAAAGTGTTCACCACAAATATCGCACACATATGGCGTCAGTCCTATACATGAAGTCTTCGCATGCTTTTGATGAAAAGTAGCCTGAACAAAATCCTTGCCACAACCGTCATGCGTCAAGATGTGGTTTTGCAAATCGCTTAAGAGTGGAAACTCTACGTCACAGACAACACACTTGTATGACATGATTTCTTGTCGTTTCAAATTATTTTGTGGCACAGATGTTGAATCCCAACCCTGACTAGACACATCATATGTTGGTGACTGCCCAGCTTTATGTGTCTGAAGATGTCTTTGTAGGCTTAGTCCAAGCTTAAATTCCTTACCACAGTACTTACACACGTTCTGCTTCTTCTGTGAACTTAACTTATGCTTTTTGAGGTGTTTCATTAGGCATGGAACGGAACTACATTTTTTACCACAGACATCACATGTGACTGTTATCTCTCCTGTATGCGTCGCAATGTGTGTTTGCATATCACTTATTCTTCTAAACCCTTGGTCACAGATTTTGCACCTGAAATTGTCTATATTTTTCATTGTATCTGTCTCATTCTGTTCCTTTAGCAAGGAGAATGTACTTGGCTCTACATCACTTGCATTACCTGAATTCATCATTATTTCCTCACCTTCATTTTTCTCGCTATGTTCCTCTTGCTGAGAGGAGTAACGGAATTCCTTATGATTTATATCACTTTTTTGCGTGTTTAGTTTCTTGTCTATGTGTGTCCTAATGTGTACCTTTAGCTGAGAGAAGTCGGTGAACGTTCTATAGCAGACATCACATGATTCCATGTCTGGTTTCTCCTCTCTATGTGTCTTGATGTGTTCCTTTAGCTGAGAGAAGTCAATAAAGTCATTTCCACATAAATCACAGGTTTCTATGTTTTGTTTCTCCCCTGTGTGTGTCTGCATATGTTCCTTGAGCTGAGAGGAATCACTTAAATTCATACCACATATATCACATGCTTCCATGCTTTGTACAATGCTTATATGCGTCTTAAAATGTTCCTTTAGCAGGGCAGTGTTATTAAACTCTTTATCGCAGAAATCACACGCTTCCATATTGTCTTGAAAATAATTTGTCTGAGTTTTCCTTTATTCAAGAAGGTGCTACATAGCAATTTCCATCAGTGTAGTTTTCTCCTCACAAAATTTAATTGCAAATATACCAATATCGCATCTTGATCTAATGAAGTGAAGCAAACGATTCTTTCTTCTCATCTCACGGAAAGAACTGAAACACACACAAAAGAAGAAGAAAAACGTTAGAGTCAATATTTAGTTATCTCAATAGTTTAAAAGTTATGGCCCAAAAATTAAGTTCTTTGGATTTTGGCCAGACCTAAGGATTAATATCAATATCATTATTGTGTTTGTCTCTTGATACCCCACAATGAAATGTATGGTAATGGGATCGGGATCTCAACTGTTTAAAAAAGTTATAGCTGAGGAATGAATTTCTAAGGGGTGGGGCCAGACTCATCAGTCAATTATCAATATCATGACAGTGTTTATCTCTTTATGTCTTTTACATAGAGATACAAACCGATTCAAAGTTATGGCCTAGAAATTAAGTTCCAATAGCTAGGGATGGAGCCAAACCCCAGGGACAATTTTGCGAAAGATAACCGGCAATAATATATATGGTAATGAGGTGGAGATCCCAACTGTTTGAAAGTTATGGCTCAGAAACCAAGTCCATAGGAGTGGGGCCAGACCCTATAGTCAATTATTTTGTTATGATTGTGTTTGTCACTTGATGCTGAGCAATTTTTTTACATTGTTATAGGGTGTGGATCTCAATAATGTACAAGTTAAAATTTTGTTTTGGTCCCTCAGATCAAGGGTCAGCTCTTCAAATGATAAAATTTTGAATCCTCAACCAACGAAGAATTATCAAAACTAAATCCGGTTGATACACATCACTTTGTTCGAGAAAAGAAGTCACTTTAAGCATATTGGCCGCATTCCTCAGCCCCTAGGGGGCAATGCCTTCCATTTATACAAAATTGAGACCCTTTTGTCCTATTTAAGATTCAAATCAATTCGTTCATACAGAAGAAGAAGGATTTTAAACATGTATCCATATGTTCTCCCTAAAGGACCCCAACCCTCTGCCGTCCAGGAGAACCAAATGTACACCCTCCATTTATTAAAAAAATGAATTCTCATTGCCCAACAATATCCTAGACAAAATTTGGTTAAAAATCATCCTTTTGTACAGAAGGAGAAGAATGTTTTAAATATATATTCCTAAATTTCCCCAATAACAGGGTTGCCAACTCCCACGGCGTGAGACAAAATCTCACGCATTCGTCACGCTGAGACGACCTACTCACGCATAATCATGTCTCACGCGACGTGAGCCATAAATCTCACGCNACTTCCATTTACACCAAATTTGGTCCAAATTCCTCCATTCATAAAAGAGAAGAAGGCTTTAAAACATTAACCCCTATGTTCTCCCTAAAGGGCCTCAACCCTCTGCCTCAATGAAAATCACACCCTCCGTTTATACAAAAGTGAATTCCCCTTGCCCAAGCTTTAGGATGTCCAAGACAAAATTTCATAAACTCCCTCAATTTGTTCAGAAGGAATTAAATTGTAAAAGGTTTATCTCATATCTCAACTTCCCCTATGCCTCCGGGGGGGGGGGGGGGCACATCTTCCATTTATACGAAATTGGGCCCTCTTTGCCGAAGGATGCTCGAATCTCTCCTTTCATACAGAAGGAGGATTCTAAACATGTTTCCCTATATTCTTCTTAATGGGCCACGCCCCTCTGTTCCCAGTCACACCCTCAGTTTACACAAAATTGAATTCAATGTTAAAGGAAACGATGGACTGCGGGCGACTGGCGCTGCACCACGCCATAAGCTCACAAGCCCTTTTGGCAGGTGAGCTAAAAATGGTCAGCAGAATATCTATTGCCAAGGCAAACAATTTCTAAACCAAAACTGCTGTAAATGTTTTGCATACTGTCTTAATTTTATAGTATACTCTTGGCTTACCATATTTAAATATATTTTTTCAACTCTTTCCAACGACATTGTATGTCCTAGATTACGGGTAATTTACATATTAATTTTGCAATTGTGTTAAGCATTTGAAACAGACTTTTAACAGAATTCCCAGTAAGAGGTTGGTACAAAAAGTCAATCATTTTGTAGTTATGGAAGCTTTGAAATTCTACCAATGGGAGTAGAATCTACAATAGTACAACAATGTGTTCAACTTAAATCTACTTGCTATTGCCTCACAAATGTACAGGGCGCTTTTCTGATCATGGTGAGTACTGTGTAATCAAAAAGATTTGCTTCTCCTTCCAAAATAACCCTCAAATCAGTGCCTCTGGGCAACAGATTTCATGTTCTCATGTGGTCATTGACATGTTTTCCCCCTAAAAACAATAATTCCGTACAAAGATGTTAATTTAATTGCCAACTTAATATCTGCAGGTATCTTAGTACTTGTACTAATACCAAGTTTCATTTGGCCCGGCCAGGTATCAAATTGAACCCGGGCCTTACAGTGAAGCAAGTCTAGTGTGAACCACACCAGAATGATTTTTGCATCACCTGCCTTCACATGGGTTCACATCCATACACAGGTTTGTAATGTAAACAGGTTCTGTTGATCCACCTAAAATGGTGTACAATTATCAAGTTTACGTAGCAAAGGCAATAGAAACGACTTCGGGCATTATGGCTCATTTCAGGCCTCATAAAAAAAAGTGAAAATTCAACTCAAATTTATGTACTAGATTTTTTTCAATGTGTATGAATTTTTTTAGATGCCCTACCAGAGCAACAAAAGTGCATTGCTATGTAGAAATAGTCAAAATATGGTGTTTTTGGATAGTAAGCAAGCAGAAATGAAAGCCTCCTCATGTGACAAAAGTTTCTTTCTTGGAATGAACACTGTTATGAAAATGTTTAAGTGTGTCAAATATTTATTTGTTTTGTGCATGCAAAGGCTTTCGAAAATTGAAGAGGCTTTAATTTTGCTTCAAAATGGACAATTGTCAATATAAATAGCACACAACCGACAATAATGATGTGTGTTGTTATGCCTTACTCCTGTACCAATAGTCGAATGAATTTGAAATTTCATATTTGCATACTTCATTTAATCTAGATTATGAACATAAAAACTAATTCTAAATCGTTGATGAGGCCAGAAAAGACCCTTAACTGGTCAAATTTTTGGTAGCAAGGGCAACTGAAATTTGAATTGACTGCCATGATGAAAACTTAGTCTCTCTTACGATATAGGTCAGACTTCTATATATGGGTGTCATGACCAAATATGGAAATTGTAGTAAACGTGGGGGCATTAGTAGTAATATACGGTAAACCTCCCGCCAGTTTGAATAGGCAGATAGTTCAAACACACTTTTTGAACAATAAAAATAATAATTTTCTCTCTAATGAAAGATTGAACCCTGCCTACACACGCTTCAGATTATTCGAATACACAATTGAGTACTGAAATAACGTAGTTATTGATCAAGGTTGGCTATTGGCGATGCAGTAATAGCCCTGCGTAACTCGCTTAAACTGATCTATTTTCACTTCGACAGAGTTTAACTATACTCAATAACGGGTAGTACTCATGTGCAACACTTGTTGTCATCGATGTCGGACAATTTGTTCATAAATAAGCCACCTGTCACCAATGATTGAGCTTCTTTCTTGTAAACGATTTCAATTTGATTATATAATCGCGACCTGGCCACCGATCCCTGATTTATTACTTAATTGATGTATAACCCATATATATGCAGGCGCGGATTTAGGGGGGGGGGGCACACCCGGCCCCGGCCCCGGCCCCCCGGCCCCGCCCCCCTTTTTGGCGGCGGACTGACCTTTTCCGGGCCGGCCCGAAATGGTCTGATCTGCCGGGAATGGGAACATATTAACATTTTAAAATGCATCAAATAATGCACGGAGCTTGTATAAAAAAAATCTCACATCCCATACGGCACCCTAGCAAATATTGTGGGTTTCCGTTATCTGATATTTTTACTATATTCTCTTTATTAAAACAATATTTGTTGGCATCGCTACGCTCATCTACTTTGTATCTTGACCCTTAAGTGTGTTTTTTATTTTACCACCTCCGCAAAACCCCAAGTTGCAACTTGCAACGCTCGACGGAAATATAAGTTGCATAATTATATTATTGACCGATCGTTATAGATGATCTGAAAATTAATACTTTTTATTGTAACCTTCCTAACCGCCCGGGCGATATTAATCATATCATTATACAAGAACGATAAAGGTTTTTTTCGGCTGACAATATTATGTATAATCGACTAAACATATCCATTCAATTTTTTTGGTATTATCTATACAAGTTAAAGGAAACGCTTTTCATCTGATGGAAGCTGTAAACCTAACAATGCATTATAGAACTGATACAGCGTTTCGTGGATATATTTCACAGGCAATGCAACGCGGACATCAAAAGGGGCCGAACCCTTGTTTTTAAAACAAATACATTGTCCGTCGACACTCACAGTGATCAATAGTAAAACTAAATTGAAATATACTTTTACAAATTCGAAATTATTTACATCTGGTATCAGGGCTTTCTAACTGTTGTATGGCTGTAGAAACAAGTGAAGTGGATATTCTATCCACAAATCTAATTACTGCCGACGTGCTTGATATTGACAAAACCCTATGGAAAGCCCTGAAAGCTACAGGGAATGGCGATTGTCTTTACAACATTTTAATGAAAGGTTAGTAGTTGTATTCCTTTTATGCTGAGGTATTCTCATACTATCCCCCCCCCATGGCAATTTTAAGAATGAAAATTTGTTTTTAAAACCGAATATTGTTTTCATATATGCGAAACTAGGTTATACTATGTGTTGAGTGACTTAACTTTTCTGGTCCCCACTTTTTAATCTGATCAAGAAATATTTTTCTCTTACGGGAGGGGGAATACCCACTCCCATACCCTCCCCCTCCTCGCGCTACGCGCTCGGGGTGATGCCTTCGGCAGCACATGTACACCGTTGACTATTGAGAAAAATTTCTCGGACCCACCTTTTAGGAAATCCTGGATCCGCCCCTGTATATGTGCCAAAACAAAAATGTTTGGCCATGTGGTCTATTGAACTATTAATCCGCAATTGCAGTTTCAATCCACCCTCCGCATTATATTACGTTACAATTGAACTTCCGTCACTACTACTGTTTGCCGTGATTGTGAGAGTTTTGCCTGTTCGCAGGAGAAAATAATCATAGGTCTATGGTTTTACGCATCTATATACCAGTTAAATATGTTACAGACGTTTTACTTTGATTTTGTACATTCCCATAACCACAATCATCTACTTTTGAGGCCTCTCCACAGCTAGTTAAAGAGAAATTAAGCTCCGCATGACCTAGGTATATAAATAAACTTAAAATTGTTTGTCATTTCGTAGCATTCAGGTTGGTTGCAGAGATAGGATAGGCATGTAATAAGTCGGGTGAGCTATTTTTATGCAGACATTTAGCTTAAATGCCTTATTATCGACTATATTACCTAATATTAGGCTAATAAACAATTGTCTATTAATAGACAATGTACATTTATGTACAAGTTCAATATATTTCAATTACACAAACAAATTCTGATTTTTAATAAGAGTCTTTTGAATATGACTTACCATTGTTGAAATTTAGGGTAACTATAACATATTTTAGGGGGCTCGTTGAAACTTAAAGGATCAGAAACTGGTCACCCCATCGCGATGCTATACGTACGTAGGCCTAATTGGAACCCTAGTTTACTGTTAACACAAAACAAAACACACATGCTCAATAATACTGTATATGCCATGTCATTAAAGTAGTAACTTACACTTTCCTCTCCCCTCTAACACAGCATTCGCCCAAAGAGCAGTGCACGGTTGTTCTGCATTCAATGTGACGCCAATGCGACGTCCATACGGATCACGGATCGACAGAGCATAAACTGAGTGAAGGGCGTAGTTAACTGATCATCATGAGTGGCGTACTAGACAGCTACACTAGTACTGTCTCTCACTGGGACCGGGGCTGAGCAGGACCGTCAAGATAGGATAACTCGTCCGGACTTCGAGCATGATTATCTTATAACTATCGTCGATACATTGTATAGCGTATACGGTCCTCGGTGGGGACATCATCATGATCATCAGGAAATAACGTAACGTTAGATGTTTATCATATATACACATTTATAAACTAAAGGAAGATAACAGTGTTTATGGTCATTAAAATGGTCGTATTAATTGAGGAAATAGAACCCCAACTTATAAGAATGGTTATATGCCGTATAGTCTATAACTATAGCTAATAGCGCTAGCATATACGGTCCTGATCAGGAAATTAAATGTAAATTATTGAGATAGGTATTTGTCAAGTACAAAAAGATAGCAATGCGAACGGTACAGAGAAGCATCATGACGATTTTTAAATCGAAAATACATTACATCAAAGACTGAATACTTTATATATCTAAGTTACATCTTATAACGTACACGGTCTTGGGCGTGGACATCATCATCAGGAAAAAAACTCCCCCTTAGGTGTTCAGAGTAATTTTACATGTTTTAGGGGTTTGGATCGACTTTCGGTAAAAATGACACCCCCAATGATCATCTATACAATATCATTGGGGTGTAATTTTTACCGAAAGCTGACCTAAACCCCTAAAACATGTAAAATTACTCTGAACACATTAGTTCAAGTCAAAATATAGCTGTTACAAATTACCAGGTCCATGTGCTCTGAACCAGAGACGTATATACTACATATGTCTCTGTCTGGACTGTGTGTATTACTGTAATATGACGTCCGTGGGGAGAGCCTGTCCAGTGTAGGTAGATGTAAGTGATCGTATAGTTATTTCGGTTTTCCCTGAAACTACCGACAAACTGACCCGCGGCATTCCCCAAGAACGTCCCGCTGCGTCCGTCTGTACAGTCAGACACATACAGTAATTGATTGGCACATGTACCGATATATAACTTATGCTAACAAAAATAATTTAAAAAAATAAGATAGTTACAAGCGTATCCCGTTTGGAATAGGTAAAATCTAATACAAACGATACATTTTAACCAATTGAATTTTATTAAAATCTGTTTGCTTCTTGCAGAAGAGGGCTGGTGGTGGTTGGACCAGTCCCTGGCTACCAAACTCTCTTACTGCATAAAGTAATAGTAATTGACATTATGACACAACATAAAAAAATGGAAGGTAAAAAGAGTTTAAGTCAGAAGAAGACTCTATAATGCCATTGAATAATTCAATTGACAATTTTTTAACAAGTTTTGCTAGGCCTACTTGCAGAAGATGCCGGCTGGTGGTTGGGCCAATCCCTACACCGACCATATAAAGTAACAATATAGTATAATTTAATAACAGTGTTTATGATGATACCCATCTGGACCTGGGTTGGTCTGCAGGGCGAGTCCGGTGCAGTTTGACGTACTGACAAACTGGGCCCAACGCGCTCCTGTTACACTTATATTATTTATATTTAATTATTTATTTTCTTCAAAAAAATACTAATGCTACGTAACGCATATATACCTAAGTAAACCGAAATATACATTCGCCAGGGAGCAAATCGATCCGGTAGCACTATTTACCCCCAAAGACCCTCAAAACACCCGAAGTTGGCCGATGTTGTCAAGTCATTTCGGCCTTAGTGTAAGTCGGTCTTCCCGGAAGTACTTGAAATAGGGCCGAGTTGTCCAATTATCGTGTAGTCAATCCGTAATCCGCGTAGCCCATCGTTTGTGTCAGCACTAAGTATAACTTCAGGGGTTCGATTTCTCGAAATGGGAATGGCCAGCGGGGTTTCGCGCGCACAGCGTTAAGCTTAAATAAAGGGCATGTCTCAGATAAACATGGATAGTGGGATCAACCTGCACAACACACCTACATATATACATATTTATAAACCACATTTTGTTTAGAAGACTGATTTAAAAAACTGTTTTTCCCAGATTTGGGACTTGTGAAAACCATTGTTACCACATCCAGGGATGTGTAGTGTGTCTGCCACATCAGAAATTGATTTTTAACCCAAAATTTGACCCCCGCAAGTAGATGTTTTTTTCTTAAAACCTGTCTGAAGTTAAATATCAACTACCCGGTCACAGAAATACTCGCGTTGTAGCATAGGTAATTCCGGTGGATTTTTCACAATATTTACACATGTGCTGAGTACAAAAATAGACTAGCTTTTGTTGTGTAAGCTTAGACACAGATTTGTAAATGCCCAAAACTGTAGTCTCAAACCAAATTCGAAATTATTATTTTTGAAAAACTTCAGCATGTATATGCCAATTTTAGTGCTGATTGTTTTGAAAAAAATTGATACATGTAATATTACAGGGGTTATTCATTGTATAAAAATATCAACCATCAGGCCATCGTACGCTACTGTACACTACTATCTAAACACGAAGTGTAAAGCGACTTTTTGCAAAGAAACAAAATCTGATTTATACAGTTAATGTCATTGCCTAACTTTATGCAAGTGTAACAGGAGAGGAAAAATGCATGGCCAGACCAGGGTTCGAACCCAGGACATTCCGAACTCTAGGCGGACGCTCTACCCAGTCCATTTCCGCTACACAAGATTTCAGTTCGATCTCACGAATGAAAAATATTGAAGGTTTTCGCGCGCCCAGCAATTCGTTAAACGGTATTTTTCTCTTGCCATTGCGTTATCATGTGCAAAAAGTTGGTTGTTTTATACTGAAAGCAATACAAGGGAAGTAACTCGTATTACGTGTAGAACACCAGACCAAGGTTCCGAAGATTTTCTGCAGAGGTTATTTTATTAATATTATCATTTATATATGTGACAGAGTTATAGCGATTTCATAAGTTATAGAAACATTTTAATGACATTTCAATACCTTCATAACTTATTCAGTATAAACTAATAAAAAGTCTAATATTATTTATTTTCCTTATCATAAATACGTCTTCTAATGAATATAAATTAATTGGCCATGGGTAGACGTAATTTATTATCGATATGAACCAAAAAAAACCATTAGCCTAGGTTTGAATAAATCCATTGTACTCATGGCATTACCTGATACAATGTACCAGGAATCACAAGAGGAATCATCAACACCTGTAATTTCCACCAGGTGCAGATGATTTGAATGCTTAACATTTTAATAAAAGGAAACTTCAAAGTATCTTTCAAAGAAAATACAAAATTTGAACATGTATGGGTTTAACCAGAGACATTAAAAGCCAAAATACGTATAGTATATACGTCTCTGGTTTAACTTATCATTTTACAATGATACTTCGTCCAGTCAACCTATAAGGGGAAACAAATATACTATCAACAGCCAAGTATACATCACAGACTGTGTACTTTTATCACAGAATTTTCTATTTAATTCCATGCTTTTATTAGCCCACCATCACCAGCCGAATCTCCTGTCGTCCATGGTCCGTCATATGTCCATAAGCAATTCTTGTTGCTAATTCTCCGAAACTCACTTACTTGTGAGATTTTTCTCAAATTTGATATAGTGAATAGAGACCCCTTGGTCCGTAGTTGTGCACGACCAATATGGCCCACAGACGACCATCTTGGATTTTGACAGTAAATGTTTGTTATTGCTACTTCTCAGGAAGTACTAGGTGGATCTTTCTCAAATTTGATATGTTGGATCCCCTTGGCCCTTCATTGTTCATGTTCAATTTTTAAAACGTGCTCAAATAAACAAAATGGACATAAATCTAATGAAGATGGCACAAAGGTGGGCACAAAGATCCCTCTGGGATCTCATGTTTATTTCGATTTGGATTATCGTGCAGATATGCGATCTGTCTAGGACGGACGGTTCCCACTCAGTTAGCACAGTACTGAAGTAAGTCCTCCGATGACACCATTAATATGAATACCCAGCACAGTGGAGGACCATGCTGGTAGGATTTTTGTCTGGTTAATCAATGTCCAATGGCTTGATTGAATAGTATTCCCTGCGGTGCATTTGAACTTCATAGTTGAAATTATTTCATATTAACATTCATCATTTATTAGTAAAAATAAAAAAGAATAGCATGTTTCCATTCAATGTAGTGGCAATGTGATCTTTATATGAACATTCTGGTCATGAAGATTCACTCCCCAGGTGCATGTTGGGGGATATTTCTGAACGAGATAATATGCTGTGAAAAGGACCGTTGTATTTCTAGCATATTCCTGAACCAGTTTTATTGTGTTTTACACCATCTTATGAAGAGTTTTGTCTGTTATGTATTCCCATGGTGTTTTCTACAAGGTTAAGGTAATCCCTAGACAGACTTTTTTTAAATAGCAGAAATGTTTTTCAGATTTGAGGAACACAGCGTTTGAAATTAGCGGTAGACAGTCACCATGAAAAACATAGTATATCTATGGGAATTACTTACTCCCGGGACCAAGATAAAACTTCCATTATTAATAGTATATACTTGTTATTTGTTGTCTTGTTATTTAAAGACAGCACATCATCGATACATCGTAATGTAAAACTGAAGGACATAGTTAGGAGTTTGATACCAGTCCTGTTGAGCTCATCTTTAAAATCTGTCTAAATTTTTATTTTGAAAAAGTATTCACAAAGAAAGTATGCTGTAATTCTATAACTTGAGAACGAAGGAACTTGAAGAAAAGTTTATGAATCATGAGTGCAAGACACACATTATTAGGCGAATACATCCATACACATTGGTTAATAAATACAGAACAATATCTATGATGCTAATTGAACTGCCCGTATTCGTTCGTATGACACCGATTTTGAAATTTTGCCATAAAAAAACCCATGTAACAGGATTTGACTTCGACATTCTCCAAGTCCCACTGTCAGTGATTACCCTAGTGTTCCTGTGTTTAATACAATACTTTTAACTCAACTATTAAAACACCACGAGAACACTCAATGTAAAACATACAACTCTTCCTTTATTAGCAGAAAAACCCTGAAAAGCTTACCATTAAACATCTAGTCAACTGTTTAACCTAACGGGAACGAGCAATAAGCAACGCAGTGCTACTGTTGCTCAGGGTAAAAGATTAAGATTAATATTTATGTAGGAACATGATCTAACTGGTTTTTAATTAGATAGCGATGATAAAACTATTACCACGGATATCACACTGTTCCCTTCCTATAAGTAAAACTTCTAAATATCATATTCTTATCAATTTTTTTCCTGATGTTTTATATCTATATATGTATATGGAAATTCTCAAGAACAAATAACCTTGAGAACGCACCCTGACAATACATATCATGCATACATCAATATGTTTTACGGCATGATATCTCTCTAAATGTATTTTATTACAAAATATCTTACAACATGTATCCAATGCGTGCCTAAATTAGCTGAGCCGATGGAGTTTTCATCACACTTTCCCGCGTTGGATTCCGCATCTATATGCGTCTTGATGTTTGGTTACTGGATTCTTTAAAACAGAAACTACCCTCTCTGTGTTTTGCTGTGTGTAAGAAGATTACATTTCTGCGAAAACACCTTACCGCAGATATCACACTGATATGATTTTACCTCTCTGTGTTACACCTTACCACATAAAATGTATATCACACTGATATGGTTTTACCACTCTGTGTTACACCTTACCACAGATATCACACTGATATGGTTTTACCACTCTGTGTTACACTTCACCACAGATATCACACTGATATGGTTTTACCTCTCTGCGTTACACCTTACCACAGATATCACACCGATATGGTTTCACACATGCATCACTGAAGTCTGCTCTTTGTTGGATATCTCTCCGAGTTCCGTGTTTGGTTTTTTATCTTTATGTTTTTTGACATGTGTGAGAAGATAATTTTTCCCCGAATATACTTTACTACAGATACCACATTTAAATGGTTTCACTATTGTATGTGTTTTGCTGTGTGTAATTCGATTACATTTCTGCGAAAACACCTTACCACAGATTTTACACTGATGTTGTTTCACACCTGTATGCATTCTGACATGCACATCAAGTTTACTTTTCCGAGAAAACTCCTTACCACATATATCACATGTGTATGGTTTCTCTTCTGTATGTGTTTTGCTGTGTTTAAGAAGATTACCTTTCTGAGAAAATGCCTTACCATAGATATCACACCGATTTGGTTTCACACTTACATCACTGAAGTCTTGATCAGAAACATCGCACTTTCTTGAGTTCGGTTTCCTGCTTGAATATAGTCCGATATGTACCTTAAGGTGATCAGAGTCGAAGAACTTTTCATTACATCACATCAAATGTGTATGGTTTTAAATTTGTGTGTGTTCGGCTGTGTGTATGAAAATCATCTCTCTGTGAAAACTCCTTACCACAGATATCACATGTGTATGGTTTTAAATCTGTGTGCGTTTGGCTGTGTGTATGGAAATCATCTCTCTGTGAAAACTCCTTACCACAGATATCACATGTGTATGGTTTTAAAT